CTAATAATTGCGCGTGTCACGGGTGTAGATAATTCACTACCAGTTTGCCGGGACACTGTCTTTCCCTCTCAAGATTCTTATTAAGCGGAACCCAGGAATTTTACGGAAATTACCACTGCCTGAAACACCGGCGGAGGAGAGACTTCGGATTCTTGCTTGTTGGGGAAACAATGGCGCCGGTTCGTACGCGGCGCGTTCCGGACGATTCGATTTATTTCGAGAGTGTTTCAATACAGCGGAATTAGAACATTTCTGAGAATAACTTTTTTAGTTCACTGCGATATGTTCGAAGTGTCGGTGTATATCGGAGAATGATCTGTTTCGAAGACTACATGCGACGATTTATCGATAACAAATGTTTAGGGCAGACTTCCGTGGATTGACGAGTATTTCAACTCCGTTTTTATTCGTCATTCAGTACCAGATTTTAGTACTTCACTTTTGCAAAGTATATAACTGACGAGTTCGTATAACACGAAAACATCGACTAGCCAACATAAAAACTGTACATCTGCAAAAAAGTTCTCCATTACTGCCCCTACTTCCCCAACCCAGCCACAGAGCCATTCCTCAAATCATCATTCCACTGGACTCCAAAAATCCCTTCTACTATCCCCAATAGCACCCCTAACTAAGCATCTGACGCATGCAGCAGCAACTGATCCTCAGCATCGCGAACGGTTCAAGGCTAAGCCATCGTTACGTCAGCAGCCGCAGCTGCGACACGGCTGGTACCGCGATTGCTCCCGAAGATGTCGGCCACGTAGGAAGAGGAACCGCGAGTTGATCGCGGGAAGGGGATAGCGTAACCGTGAAGAAAAAGAAGCGAGGCGCGCGTAGCGAAGACAAAAAACCTCGGAGAGGGGGCAAAAGAATTGAAAAGCGACCGAACGAAGAGACGAGGAGGCGAGGACGTCGCGGCGAAGAAGAAGGTGAGTGTAAGAGGAGCGTGCACCGAGCTTGACGAGCGGAAGAGAGAGAGAGGGAGAGAGAGAGAAGGCGTTGGAAAAAGACGGGGCCAGAGAGAAAGAGAGACAGAGGGAGAGAAGGAGAAAGAGAACACACGGCGGGCGCTCCGCCCCAGGTACACGAGCAACATGGCCGCTGAGGGACGGATTGGCGGAGGCCAGCCACGATGCCGACGTCGTCGTGACGCCCGCGCTTCACTCAGCTCGCCTCAAACTCGCCGGACTTCGCTCCCATCGGCCCTTACGGCACTCCTCCGCTTGAAACGGTCGCCGCCTACCCTATCGTTTTCCCCTCCTCCCACTATCGCCGACCTCTCCCTCCACCGTTTATTCCCCTCTACATCACTCCCGATAACTCCTTTCCACTCGCCTCGCTCTGTCTTTTTCTCTCTCTCCGTCGCCGAGTGATAGTCGCGATCGCTCTGTCCTTCACCGGCGCGCATCGGACCGAGTGATCACGTCTCGCTTCGACGGACGAGCTTCTTCGTTCGCCGGAACCCTCCCCGATCGGCCACGCGCTGCGACGCGACACCGTCGCTGCACACGCACCGCAACCGGTCGATCGCGCGATGCGAGACACGGGTATAGGATACGCGCGTAGGAAGCCGCGCGACAAGGTTGCAAACCGCCCGGCAAGGACGAAGCCGCGACTTTTTATATGCCCCGCGCTGACTCCAGTCCGCGACCGCCGAGATGCCGGGGAACGATAGGCCCGGGAACGGTCCCCGGTTATCTCGGCCGTTAACGCGGGCCCCGAATCGTTCGGCCGATGTTTACCGTCGACGACGCTCGAGCCGCGGACACGGTTCCCGTGTACGGTCTCGAATTCGATGATACAAATGAGCACGCTCATTGGACAAATCGATCGCGTCCACGAAAGAAAAAGCAGAGTAAGGTGCTGCGATAGTGGTATATTGATTTTTGTAATTTAACTTCGGATGTGGAATGAAATTATCATTATGGAATGTGTTTTACTTCGTTGTTATAGGTACAGCTTCGATCTGACGAATATGTAACATGCATGAAATGATATATCCTTGAAGTAATTTTTATCGTTACTGTGACGTTTATATGGTCAAAGGACTTTTTACGATTTCGTGGTACCACAAACCCAGTCGTAATGGAATTTATGTTAAATATAAACAGTTAAGAGCCGATGAATCGCTGTAATGATGAAATTATTAAATTCCGAAAGTGAAGTTAATGGATTCGGCCAATGAGCGGCTCAAATGATAATTGCTATCAAGGCGATCAGGGGAGCAGAGAGGCAGTTGCGAAAGAGATCCTGGCATCGATGTTGAGGATCGGCCGTTCCGGAGATAGCGGTAATTGCGTTTCCTCGTAATTGGTTATTCCATTTGCTTCTAATCGAACCGCATCGCGCGCTTTATCGGCTCGAGGATTC